AAATGTTTCCACACATGACACAAACTGAATCGTTCACAGAAGTGGACACGCCGGACGCCACCGCGGCAGGAAGCAGCCATGCTGGGTAATTACAGCGGTGTATTTGAACCAGTGAAGGTAGAAACAAAAAACACTTTTAAGAGCCGGTGCACGCTCTCAGGTTCTGGATGTTTGCTGATGTTATCTGATTGGTGCAAACTCGTGCCGGATTCGCGTAGTGGTACCTGCAGACGTGTTCATGCGTCGTTGTTCCAGCTGTCACTTCTGCTCCTCTTGGCTGCGGTTCGAGGTTTTCCAACACGGCGTCAAACTTCAGTCGCCACTGCTCAGCAGCATCGTCGCTCTGTCGTCACCTGGAAGGCTTTTATTGTGAAACGCTGGCAGGAAGTGTGAATCTTTATTATTAATACTGTGGTTTCCAGGGGAACTCGGGGCTGGGCTTCAGCATCGCAGGCGGCACCGACAACCCTCACATCGGTGAAGACCCCAGCATCTTCATCACCAAAGTGATCCCCGGAGGAGCGGCGGCGCAGGATGGACGGCTCAGGTGAGGCAGCAGGAAGCTGTTTGTTGGTGAAGGAGGTGTGACTGATGTCTGAGCGGCTTTTTGATCCCTCCGTCACCTCATTAGAGGAGGGCTCAGATATCCTACAACACCCAGAATGCTTTGCAGCAGTTGCTTCCAGGCTGCTGCTTTAGAGCGTAGCTGCTGACAGGCTGTTCAGCTGATCAGCAGTTCGTGGGGACAGACTCACACAGTTTCTAACATTAACCTAAGATCACAAACTTTATTAGCTCAGCTGTTGGTCAGCTTTCCGCTCGTATGAAAACACGCAGTGAGAGAAGGACGTCTGTCCCTCGTCTGCAGTCAGAGGTGGTGTCCTCACAGCCGGACCCCCGCGGTGCCCTGCAGCCTTTCATGGCTCATTCATAATGCAGAAAGTCTGTCGCACCTGATCCAGGTGATGATGATGAGGACGAAGAGTACGGTCTCAGGTTTCCTTTAAACTGTTTGTAAGTTTGGATCCGTGGTTTGGCTCTACTTCCTGCTTTAACGCCAATAAATGAAAGAATAAAATCTGTGACGTCATCAGTTTCTATTGAAGGTGGTGACCTGACTGACGGCGGGGTGTTCACGCTCTGTTTCAGGGTCAATGACGTCATCCTGAGAGTCAACGAGGTGGATGTTCGGGACGTGACCCACAGCCGAGCCGTGGAGGCGCTGAAGGAGGCGGGATCTCTGGTCCGACTCTACGTCCGCAGGAGGAAACCCGTCTCAGAGAAAGTGATGGAGATCAAGCTGGTGAAAGGACCCAAAGGTAGCGTGGAGGCTTAAACTGCGCTCAGATCAGGCGCCCACTCAGATCAGGCGCCCACTCAGATCAGGCGCCCGCTCAGATCAGGCGCCCTGTCTGAGCGCAGACGCATTATTAAACCTGTGAGTGTTCCTAATGTTTTGGCTCACGGCCGCAGCTCTGCGCAGATGGCGTGGATGTGTGTCGGCCGTGTTGCTGGATTGTCTCCGCTTGCTGAGGAGCTTTAGTGAAATCCCCGCGGGCCTCATGATTATTCAGACGAGGAGCCCGGCTCAAGAACAAAGCCTCGGTTTCCACGGAAACATCCTGAAATATGCTTCTGTGCATTTATGTGTCCTGATTGGTTCCCGTGTTAAACCAGCAGCGGCGTGTTTCGTGGGGTGGTTGTTGTTTAAAGTTTGTCCCTGTGAAGGACGCTCAGGCGTCGGAGCTAGACTCCAGAGTTTGAGGGTTTTTACCCAGAATGCTTCAGAGTTTCCCGTCTGATCACCCGGCACCCTCCTTCTGGTTCTTTGTGTTGCAGGTCTCGGCTTCAGTATAGCGGGCGGCGTGGGGAACCAGCACATCCCCGGCGACAACAGCATCTACGTCACCAAGATCATCGAAGGCGGAGCGGCTCATAAAGACGGGCGGCTGCAGATTGGAGACAAACTGCTGGCTGTAAGGACCCGGTTCAAACACGAGAAATCAGACGAATTATTTATTTACACCAAAACTAAAAGAGTAAACACGAGAACGTGAAGCAGGCGAGTTACAAACATTCAGCGCAATAAAATAACTAAGAAAAGCTCTGATGGCATTAAATATGAAACCCAATAAAGACTCAAATTTGAAACCAGTAAAATTAGAAATAATAATAAAGACAAGCTTCAACTTATGACATGAAGTAAAGACGACTAAAAGTAGACGGAAAATATAAATAAAAACCAAAAATAGACACACAAGACAGAATGCTATATTTGAAAAAAGAAGCACAATTAGAAATTAATTAAAATAACAATAAAAACAGAAAATGGGCAGATTAAAAGAAAGAGCTGTAAGTTAACATAAAATGAATAATAAATAAAAATTTTAAAAAAGAAAAAACTCCAATTAAATTAATTTTAAATAATCAATAAACCAAAAAGAACTCAAAAGAAAATGTTAATTAAAACCAATAAAGCCTGATTTAAATAATAAAAATAAAACAAACAAATTACATTATTTTAAAAAAGGAAGAAAATGAGATAATAAAAGTTAAATAGAATAAAAGCAGGTTAAAAAAGCTCAGTGAGTTAATAATTAAATTAAAATAAATTAAAATATTTCTAATAAACAACCAACACGTATAAATAGTAGAAACAGGTTTCAGTGATAAAGAACAAATAAAGTTTCCTGCAGTAAAAACAGGAAGTTGCTGACGGTGAAGAACGAGCACCGTGAATATTTTTAGGTTTTAACAATAAGATAAAGTTTCACCCTCATAACATTTTATAATTATAAACTTATAACATGTTTCATTGAGTGAAGACGCGCCTCACCACAAACTACCAAACAGCAGACCTTCAGAATAAAAGCACAGGCGTGTCTGACCGCTCCTCTCTTGCTGTGTCTGCGTTCAGGTGAACAGCTCCTGCCTGGAGGAGGTGAGCCACGAACACGCCGTCACTGCCTTGAAAAACACTCCCGACGTGGTCTACTTGAAAGTGGCTAAACCCAACAGTGTCTTCATGAACGACAGCTTCGCTCCGCCCGACCTCACCAACTGTGAGTGCAAACACACACACCTGTGACCTCACCACTAAAGTTTGATCTGTGTGCACCGAGCTGAAGAAAGAAGCGTTTTGATTTCAGTTTGTTCTGGAATCCAGGCTTCCAGAAACAGTCGGGAAATCCATAGTTGGAAACTTCCCTGGACTTTTTATCCTGAATTGTTTTCCGTTTTAAGATCTTCCAGATAAATGAGGTCTCACATAAATCAGCTGACCTGGTTTTGAGTTAAAGGTTTCCCTGTGTGAGTGTGGTTAGGGTTAATCCAACCGAGCCGGCCTGTCCCGGCTGGAGGCTTGTTGGTTTCTCTTGTACGCTGCGGTGGATTTTTGGTCTGACATCGAGCAGATTAGAAGGTCCTGGCTCATGTGGTCAGGATGACATCCGACCCTGAGCCGGTGTGCACCGCCGCAGTCTCTGATGATCAGGTGGGGCGGGGATTCGTCAAACGACACGCCTCAAAGTGCAGACGAGGCCGGTTCCTTTAAAACATTTCTCTCTGAACCGGCAGCTTTAGCAGAGATGAAGACGGCCCAGCTCTGAACCTCGCACTTCGCTGCAAATTACAGGAAGCGCTCTGAAAACTGTAATACTGCAGGACAAACCTGCATCCCGGAGACTGGAAGCTGGCACCGAGCTGCTGAGGAGACGCCAAAGAAGGAAACACCCCTCAGAGATGCTGAGCTTCAGACTCCTCGGCTGTAGAGGCCGAGGAGTCTGAAGCTCCAAGCAGCTGTGGAGGATCCGGAGCCGAGGAGAGACTGATGGGAACGCACAGGAAGACACGGAGGCTGCAGGAAGTGTTGCACGTTATAACCTGAGTAATCATCATGAGGGAGGCTGGTGCTGGTTTGAAGCCAAACGAGGAACGAGCACAAAATATCCGATCCTGAGTCGCGATGTTTGACAGCTCGGCTCTCACAAACGCCACCAGGTGCCTCAACTCATCCATGTGAAACACAGCCTCCCTAAAACTGAGTGCTTCCTACAGCCTTTCCTGACAGCTATGATTATATCTGAGGTTTGGGCCGCAGTCGATCAGCTGATCAGCTTCTGAGCAGCCGAACCCTTTCATGAGTCGTGGACCGACGGCGCCCTTCGTCTCCTGCAGTGGCAGTAAAACCATCGCTCTGTTTGCAGTGACGTTATTTGTTTAACCTCCTGAAGTCTCCGGGGGAGTGTCCTGATCGTGGAGAGAACAGTTTCCGATCAGACGAACATCAAACTTTCAAATGTTTTTAAAAATGAAGACAAACTATTTTCAGGTTTCATGCTCTCGGTGCTGCTGTCACAGATCTGATGCCGCGGTTACAGCTGATCGTCAGCAGAAATGTGACAGTGAGTTGGGAGGTGCTTGTTTCTCGCTCACTGGTGTCGTTTACGACCCCCCTCGACGGCTCTCGGCCAATCAGGTGGTTACAGGAGCCGGACAGGCGAGCAGATGCAGCAGCTCAGCGTCAGACACACAGCGGCTGTGATCAGACTGGTTTTAATGGTCTTCTCTCTCTTCCAGCGTACTCCCAGCGCATGGAGAACCATATCAGCCCCCCCAACTTCCTGGGTCAGCCCCTCCCTCCGCCAGCATCCTCGGGGCGTTACTCCCCGACCCCGAAGAGCACGCTGGGAGACGACGACGTCACCCGGTGAGAACAGAAACACTCTGCACGCACACGCCTGTAATTTCAGTGTTTTTGTACCTGTAGCTGAAGCACAGCTGCTGCGCCCTCTGCTGGTGCACACCTGCAGCTACACCCTGCAGTCTGACCCTGCTCACGTGACTTCAGATGATTGACGGCCTCAGTGCTTTTTCCTGCAGGGAGCCGAGGAAGGTGGTGCTTCACAGAGGAGCGACGGGACTAGGCTTCAACATCGTGGGCGGGGAGGACGGCGAGGGGATCTTCATCTCCTTCATCCTCGCCGGAGGACCTGCTGACCTCAGCGGAGAGCTGAGGAAAGGAGACCGACTCGTCTCCGTACGTAACAACGTGTTAAACTCAGAGAGTCAGTGATGAGTCGCTGCAGGTCGCTCGCCACACGCGAGCAAACACGCTGCTGACTTTCAAATTAAAAGCTGCACCTTTTGAGAAGTGCTGGATCAGACTGAGCCGCTCGTTTCCCCGATTGAGTCGTTGCTCCGCGTCTGACGTTGTTTTTGTGTTGAAGGTGAACGGCGTGGACCTCCGTAACGCCACCCACGAACAGGCGGCCGCCGCCCTGAAGAACGCCGGGCAGACAGTGACCATCGTCGCCCACTACAGACCAGAAGGTGGGACAGCAGGACGCACCTGCAGGGTCACATTTACAGTCGGGCGTGAACAGGAAAGGGAACAAATCCTCTGATTTTAGCAGCTGGTATCAGAATATTTGTCTGTTTGATTATTTTTACTTTAAAATGATTGATTATTGATTATTGATCCAGCTGTTCACAGATGTTTCAGCTCTGATCTGTGTGGGAAACTGAAACCAGCAGTTTTCTCTGATTTTACCGGAGAAACAGTTTAAAAAGTTTCAGACTCTGTTTGGCTTCATAAAAATCCTCTAACATGTTTCTGTAATTTCCTGTGACCTCTGACTCCTGGATGACCTCTGACCCCGCTCAGAGTACAGCCGGTTTGAGGCAAAGATCCACGACCTGAGGGAGCAGATGATGAACAGCAGCATCAGCTCGGGCTCCGGGTCTCTGCGGACGAGTCAGAAGAGGTCGTTGTACGTCAGGTAGGCGTAAGCGTGGACGGCGTGGACGGCGCTCGCGTACCGACGTCCTGTGTTCTGTTTTTAATCGGTTTATTTGTCGTTCGTGTTTCAGAGCTCTGTTCGACTACGATAAGACGAGAGACTCCGGTCTGCCGAGTCAAGGCCTGAACTTTAAGTTCGGGGACATCCTTCACGTGGTGAACGCCTCCGACGACGAGTGGTGGCAGGCGAGGCAGCTGACGGCGCAGGGAGAGGTGGAGGAGGTGGGGGTCATCCCCAGCAAGAGACGGTCAGTCCCAGTTACATCTGCTCCACCAATCAGGATCAGAGCTCGAGAGGACGTTTGGAGTTTTTAACTTTATTGAAACAAACGTCAGGGTCGCACCTGTGCAGGTGTCACTGAGGCGAACGAGCGCTGCACAGAGACGCTCTGAACATTTACCAGCTGACCTTCGAGGGTAAAATTAGGCTGTAAGGTCAGGATGTCGTCAGAAAGGTCAAACCTTCCAGTTTCTGGAGGAACGCTCGTGGAGCGGTGGCGAGCTGCCGACTCACTCGATTTGCCCTCGAGTTCTGAGGCTGAGCTCATCGCGAGTATCATTCATGCATAAAGTCTGGTTCCCTTGTGATCTCTGCTGACCTTTGACCTTTCCCACAGGGTGGAGAAGAAGGAGAGGGCGAGGTTAAAGACGGTGAAGTTTAACGCCAAGTCTCGGGACAGAGGGGTGAGTGACGGCGTGGACGGTCCCTGGAGTCAGAAACGCGACTTTATTTACACATGACGACGTTTTTATTAAAAGCTTTGAAGTCGTTTTTCTGTTCTTCGTGTTTAAAACTGTAATTTTTTATTGTTTTTATTGTTTGATTTCTGCGTCTTTAAAGATGCTTCAGTTTTCCAGACTTGACCTGATAGAACGAGTCAGACTTGTGTAGACTTCAGTGACTCCGCCCATCTGATGCTCTCAGGATCAGCCGACGTTATTTATTTCCCCTGCAGTGGCGTGTGACGTGCAGCTTATTGAAGCCGTGCGTGGCGTTACCTTCGTACAGGCGGTCGAAGTGCACGCGTGCACGTTTTTGGGCTTCAGTCTGTTCACTAACGACTCGGTTTGAGGGTTTTCATCAGTTACCGGACGTTACTGGATAAGTCGGTCTGCGCCGCCCGCCTTTTTTGAAACCCGGCAGTGAGAGAAATGGCTGCCCACGGCGCCCGCCACCTCGAGTGTGACGGGTGCTTGTTTTTCTGACCTTCCCCGAGCGTTAGCATGGCGGCGTGTCGCACTTTAAGGTGAAGGTAAAACATGTTTGAATAAAGTCTGCTGATCCTGAGCTGGTCGATGACACGTCTCAGGTGTTTGACGCCAGCTGTGCGTCATGTGACCTCTGTGTGTTTGCGCCACAGCCACCTGATCTCCACCTACTAATGAGTGTTTGACTAATGTTGACGGCCGTTTAACAGCATGACGACCTCTGAGGCGTTTCTTCTTCTTCACCAAATCGCAGCAGCGCCTCCCCCTCCCTCCCCCGCCACCTTTAAACCGTGTGCCGCTTTAATACGTGTCGCCACGGCGTTGCTCGCCAGCTGCCACCCTAACACGGCAGACCAAGGGCGGGGAGGCAAACCGTAGAACATGCATGGCGCCCGCGGTCTGCTCCTCGCCTCTTCGCGAAACGCTTGACATTGACGTCTGCTGCTCTCCTTCCTCCTCCTCCTCCTCCTCACCACTCACCCTCCTCACCCTGTTTTCCGTCTCCTGCTCTGTAACATCAAAGTGCAGCATGTGAGCTAATGATGTCACAGGCCCCGCCTCCTGCTGATGAACGACACACGCAGCGGTTGAACTAATCAATAACTTGAACTCCTTTTTAGGCCCTTTCAGCTCCTGGTTTTGGTTTTGTGTCGTCGCACAAGCTTGAATAAACCCACCGAGAGCCAAGCTGTTACCATGGTAACAGACGGGTAAAGGGACACGACTCGTTCTGTGTTTGGCTTTTATTCATACATAAATGTAGGTTTAGCGTTCGTAGACGTGAGGTGGTGGAGACCAAACATGGAGCTGAAAGAAGGTGGATGCTGGACTCAGACTGCAGCTGCCTTTTTAAATAAACCTAATATTTGTTTGTCGGTTGCCATGACATCAGCCGATATCGTTTCGTTATAGCCTCACATCTGGATCAGTTTCTTTTAAATAACCCCACAGTAACCTTCGCAGCCTGACTGGTGACGTCACGCTTTCATTTACACTTCAAGACAAACAAAATGCAAAAACTTTAGGCTAAATTTAAGACGTCCAAACGCATTTAAGGAACGTGGACGGACCAAAACGCCGCGCAGCTGAAGAAACCACGTGAAGCTGAGAAGGCCTCCCACAGCACGTTTGTAATCCTGGGGTTTGTAGCACCAGTGTTTCCTCACTGCTACACGGAGGAACATAAATGACTTTTCCTGACGCACTTGAAGGCATCATCAGCACCATCCTCGAGCCGATTCGCCGAAATAACCAAACGGCTTCTCCCAGCTTGCTGTGTCTCTGCATGTCGTCAGCATGTTCACCTTCATCCTCCTCTCCGACCGACGCCGCCTTCACTGTCGGCGTGTGAAGCGGGGCGTCGGAGCTCTGCAGGTTGCGTTCAGGGTCGGGGCCTCTGTGTCCGAGTGTTTTAGTTTAAACGATTTTTGTGTTTGATGTTTAAACTGTGAGCCGGTCAGACGCAGACTCAGACACCCATCACACCCCTCATCTCCCTCTCTTCCTCCTCTTTGTTTTACTCCATCACCCCTCCTCCTCCTCCTCTTCCTCAGCAGTCTCTCAATGACAAGCGTAAAAAGAACCTCTTTTCCCGAAAGTTTCCGTTCTACAAGAGCAAAGAGGCGAGCGAGCAGGAGACCAGCGATGTCGACCGTAAGTACCAGCGCGGGGAGGCGGGGCGGGCGGTCTGAAAGGAGATTGGCCGGCGACAGGAAGAGAGATCAGGTGGCGACGGCGTGCTGAGCGCGCGCCGGTCGTCACCGCTGCAGGGCGCCGCCGCGCTCGTGCGATCTGATCAGAAGCCGTTTCTAAAACCTGAAACCAGAGCCAACATGGCCGCCCTGCAGCGGCGCCCCGGCGGCGTTCCCTCTGCTCTCTCAGTCTGTCGCTCTGTCAGTAACTGTGTCTGTGGTTGTTTTCCCTCCTTCACTCGGCTGCTGCAGGACAACAGCGAGGACGTGCTGTCCAAGGGACACAGTAAGTTTCAACACCCCCTCCCCCAAAACTCCCATCAGCCTCCTCGGTCTCCACCAGCGTCCTCCAGAGAGCAGACGCCGCTCGCTCTATAAGCGAGCATCCTTACATCCTAAAACCTTTGGGGGCGGAGCTTTACGCCGCCCATTTGTATTTGAGGTTAATTCTACTGGTTGTTTGTTTTGAGTTAAAAGCAGCTTCGTGTTTTAGAGCAGACGACTTTACTTTTAGCTTAAATTCAGTTTATTTTGTTTTTGTGAAGTAAAATCAGACGAAGCATCGACTCCTGATCAGCCTTTGATCAAAGTGATTATTCAGATTTTAAATGATTAAAACGATCAAATAAAACTCAGAAAACCACAAAAACCAGTCAAACACGCGACAGAGAAACCAGCGGGTTTAAAGACTGACAGGAGATCTGATCCAGTTTGTTATATTTCATCGAGAACATGAAGATAAAATCTCAGTTTTTCTCAGTGTGTCGAGTGTCTGTGAAGGCTCCTGTCCGGATCAGCGTTTAGTTTTAATGCCGTAAAAGTCGTTAAACTGAAGAGTCTGATGATGGTTCCTGGTGGAGTCTGAGACCCCTCCCCCTCCTCTTCCTCACCACAGACCCTCGTGGATCCTTCAGGCCGGAGCTCTTCATCTCTCACGAGACCTTTGTTTTTCTGTTTCATGGCAAAAGTTACAGGAAGCTCTAAAAGCTGAACACGGCGACCGACACGAGCCGCTCGCTCAGTCATCGGGAAACTAACCCGCCCACAAACACAGCTGATCATTTTTAGTTTTGGTTAAATTACAGTTTAAATGTGTGTATTCAGGTCTTGATGGTGTTTCCAGATGTTTGTCCAGCTGACGATCTAAAGAAAACGTTTAATATCCCAGAAAAATCTGATTTTATTTTCTTATCTGGATATGAGCTGAAAACACAGACTGTATATAGAGGATGGAAGTGTCTGAAAGCTGCGTTCTTTTTAATGGCCAGCAGGGGGCGAAACTGTCCTGATGAGTTTGTGTCTCAGTCTTTAGTTTTAAGTCTTACTGAGTGATCGAGGGGAAGTCGCCGCCCACTGAGTGCGCCGTCCTGGTTCAGCCTAAATCGCTCCGCTCCAAGCAAACAGATGACATCACAGTGGCTGCTTCCATTGTTTATATACAGTCTGTGTTTATCCACATCGCCCAGTTTTCAGAGTCGAGTCTTTGAGTGTGAAGCAGGTCAGGGAAGACTCCTGGGAAGTTTGGGAAATGTTTTAAATCCATTATTGGGCTAAAAAGAGTCGGACGGCTGTGATTGATCTGCCGCCTCGAGTCCCCCTGCGTGATCACGGGGCAAAGCATTCTGGGACGGCGATGTGACCTGTCCTGTTTGTGTTGTGATTCCAGAACATGTGACGTCTAACGCCAGCGATAGTGAGAGTAGCTACCGTAAGTCTGCCGCTCGATGACTCACAGGAAACACTAACGATCGGCGCGACCTGTCGCTGAACCCGCTAACTCCCTCACTGACGCCGCTAACGAGCACAGACTGCCGATTGGCCAGTAACAGCATGACCTCACACCCTCACAGCCCCTCCCCCTGCTGCTGCATGGACGCTGCCGCCTCGCAGAGAGCGCCTCTTTCAGCCACACCGAGCATGTCGGCACCGTTCACTGATTTCATATATTTCACCTTAAAACTGGAAACCAGAAACAGCATCACCTGTAACCGAGCGAGCGCTGCAGACTCGGGATGTTGTGAGAACGCTGTTATAAACCATTAATGGTTAAAAACGCGCTGAGCGAGCAAACCGATCAATCAGAAGCAGCACAGCAGTGGGAGTGAAACCTGCACAAACTGCGACTGCAGGCACAGGAGAACGCCGGCCTCGAGGTGTCCTGCAGGTTTCAGGTATCACCTGAATCCAGTGATTACTTCATGACCTCTGGAGAACTTCACGACATGTTGAGGAGGTCATTCAGCCGTTTAAATCAGCTGCGATGGATCACGGACACGTCTGAAACCTGCAGGACTCCGGCTCTCGAGGCCTGGAGTTCCCCGCCACTGCTGTCAGGTGACTGCGGCTCACGCAGCTCAGATTAAACAAGCATGAGTGTGTGAGGAGTCGCGGTGTTTGTGCTGTTAGACGTGCAGACGTCAAAGTCGGCGTAACTGAAACTTCCTGCTCCCGTCGCCGTTCTCCAACGTGAGGATTTTAGTTCCTGAGCACGCTGATGTAATCCCGCAGGTTCAGACTCCGCCTACTAACCAACCTCAGTAGATCCCATCCTCCCTCCTCTCCTCCGTCTCTCCTCCTCTTCACCTTCATCACTCCCGTCTGAGCTCCGGACGCTGAAACTAACGACCTCTGTGTCTGCAGGTGGGCAGGAGGAGTACGTGCTGTCCTACGAGCCCGTCGTTCAGCAGGAAGGTGAGACCATCTGTTCGCTTAGCTTTATTTTTTAAAGTAATCTGATTACCACAAGCAGCACTCTGCGTATTCGACATGCTTCGATTCTGCCCCACAGTGAACTACACCCGCCCCGTCATCATCCTCGGCCCCATGAAGGACCGCATCAACGACGACCTGATCTCAGAGTTCCCCGACAAGTTCGGATCCTGCGTCCCTCGTAAGTCCGCCGAACGCCATTAAACAGGCGATGCGTTGCACGCTCGTGTCACCTGATGTTTAACTCTGACGCCGCCCGCAGACACGACCCGGCCGAAGCGGGACTACGAGGTGGACGGCAGAGACTATCACTTCGTGGTCTCCAGAGAGCAGATGGAGAAGGACATCCAGGACCACAAGTTCATCGAGGCGGGGCAATACAACAACCACCTGTACGGGACCAGCGTGCAGTCGGTCCGGGAGGTGGCGGAGAAGGTAATGACGACACGCCCCTTTGACCTTTAACCCCGCTCTGACCTCATTTAGCGGCGGCGTGCGGTTTGAGATGTTCTCCTTCTGCTGTTTCAGGGCAAACACTGCATCCTGGACGTGTCAGGTAACGCCATCAAGAGACTCCAGCTGGCTCAGCTCCACCCCATCGCCATCTTCATCAAACCCAAATCTGTGGAGAACATCATGTGAGTCACTTCACAGGAAACGCCTCCACTCAGTTCTCACACGAGCGTGAAGGTGACGTGGTTTTTCTCTGCAGGGAGATGAACAAGCGTCTGACGGAGGAGCAGGGCAAGAAGACCTTCGACCGAGCAAACAAGCTGGAGCAGGAGTTCACCGAGCATTTCACAGGTGAGTGCCCGGCTCCACCCGCCTCAGGTGATCCTCCACCCTCTAAACCACGTTACAGTTTCGCATGTGCCCCCTGCTGGTCACGTGCTGGAGCTGCACCACAACATTAGTGCAGCAGACGGGAGGAAATGACGAGTTTTTGTTTGAGACGTTTTAAATTTGGCTGATCTCTTCGAGGTCGTGTCCTCGTGCACCTGCGCTGCTGCGCGCCGAACCTCCAAAAACTGCGAGTGTGCAGCCTGATGGATGTTCCTCACGCAGACTGGCGCTATACCGCCCTGCCGGGACCTTTAATAACGAGCAGAAATGGCGCCGCCTTGTCAGAGAGCAGGAAGTCCAAGGATCGATCAGCCAAGTTTAAATACGTTTGTAGTTTTATTTTTATGGGCGGAGCTTTTACACTTCGAGATGAAAGGAGTGTTTTGATTGGTTTCAGACACAAGCAGCTGACACGCCCACAGCGCTAATTACTAACTAACAAGAGGCACCAATCATAACTTTATTTACAAACATTTAAAACGATAATAAACATCAGAGGAGTCGGTGATGTACAGGCCTGTCTTTGATGATGTCACGCTCGGCGCTCTCTGCTCTGTGTGTGCAGCCATCGTGCAGGGCGACACGCTGGAGGAGATCTACGACCAGGTGAAGCAGATCATCGAGGAGCAGTCGGGTCCCTTCATCTGGGTTCAGTCCAAGGAGAAGTTATGAAGACGGCCGCTCCTCCTCCTCGTTGTGACGGACGAGTCGACCTGCAGACGTCCCCTCCCCCACGCCTCGCCCTCCACTCGCCCCATCAGCGACGCAGCGGCCGACCCGAGTTCAGTTTAGCTTCTTTTCTTTTCTTTTTTTGCCTGATAAGACTTCATGTTTGGGTTTCCTGACCAGCAGAGCAAAGCACACAGGAAGTTTGATGACATCACACTCAACGCGGTACAGCTCCTTAATGTTTAAGGGAGGAGAACTTTAGCGGAGAAGACGAGGAAGGTACCTGGAAGTGACGAGAAGAAATGTACGAAGTGGATTTTATGTTTAGTTTTTTCTTTGTGGGTTTTTTCCCCTTTTTTTGTCTTGTAAGGTAAGCAGGTGGGCGGAGTTTCAGTCTCAGGCAGCGTCTGTCGGTCCGGAGGAGGCGGAGACACAAAAAGCAAAACTTTGCACGTTTGAGCTTTAACAGCATGTCAGTTAATCCCGTTTATTTTCCCATCAGCCCCTTCGCCTCACGTCTGATGTCACCGCTTTTCTCTTCTGCTCGTTTTTTAGACTCGATTCACGTTTCGTTTGTTTTTTATTTTCGCTCCTCGCTGCTGCTGGATGTTCGTCAGGACGCTGCGAGGTTCCTGCTCTGCTGCTAGAGGGCGCCGCAAGGCTTAACGAAGGAAAACGACAATTTACTTTGTTTTTAAAGGAATTTATAATTTCCTGTCAACGAGAAAGAATCTGACAGATTTTCTGATTTCGGGGATGAAAAAATAAAAGCTTTGATGTTTCTGCGGACGTCGAATCGTTTCTCACCAAAACACCGAGACAGAAAAATCTAAATATTTTTATAGATGAAAATAAGCTGAGTGCAATCATCAAAAATTATAAATCATATCTATGAAAAATATTTTATTCATTAACGTGTTTAATTTCACTAAAACACCAAATGCAAGACAGAAATTCCCAAATATGTTTATTTTATTACCAGAAAAATCTCAATATTAGAAATAACAGAAATAACTATTTTATTTTACTAAAGAAAATTATCTCAGAATTTTATGAAACTCTGATTATGCCAAATATGGTTTATGGTAAAATCTAATTTAAGAAAATTAAATATTAAAATCAAGAAAAATGCAACAAACATTTCCTGTTACAAAAACTGCTCATAATTAATGAAAAACTGATTTTTATAAAAGATCTGGAACATCAAGAAAGAAATAATCGAATACAAAAAGAATTTGAATCACCAGAAAATGCAAAACAAATTAAAGTTTAGAATAACTTAAAATCCCAAATCCGTATTTTATTTACAAACGCACCAGAATCATAAGAAAAAATAGATTTAATATTTTATTATAACCCCTAAAACCTTAAAAGTAAAAGATTTTATTTTACCAAAATATAAAACTTCCTGAAAACAGTGAAACAAGAATTATAATAATTTTTATTACAACAATCTATTTTATTATAATGAAACTGTAACACTTATGAAAACTTAAAATTGAAAATTAGAAAATATTTAAAAGCACGTCAGAGCTGCAGACAGAACACGAGGAAGTAACGCCGACGTTTACGTCTCGTTCTCGCGAGATCTGAACTCGTGATTTTAGATTCTCTTCAGCTGATTTTCTTTCTCTTTTTTTCCCACTTGGACGAGTTCACAGTCGCGTGACGCAGTGGCGCCCTCTGCAGGTAGAACCCCGCCGGTCGTCGCGGTGACGTCCATCAGCGTCGCCAGTGTCTTACCACAAAAACGATGTCGATCATGCGATTCGCGCGGCGAGCCCGGAGACGAGCTGCCACCTCCGGGCGTCCACAGGTGTCGGAAACACGATTATTGTACAATGAGATTTTGACAGATATTTAACCCTCGGTAAACTGCCTATTTTGTTATAATAAAGTCTATATTGAACTTTACTTAAGCACTACTACTACGGGAATTATTTTCTTTGCATTGTTAATCATATATGAATAGAAAAGTATAAAGATATTTGAATATGAATATATATTTTTTCTTTTTCTTTGATCACCACCTCCTCTGTCTTTTAATTTTCTTTTTTAAGCATAATAAAAACTTAACAAGAAAACCCGTGTGTTCATTTATAAAAGTCACACTTCAGTCGGCCTGAACACTGTTGAACAGGTG